TTGTTTAAATTTATAAAACATGTTGCAATAATCTACGAAACCAACTAAAGCAAAATTCCCCTGATTAAAAATCTTAATATCATTTTGATCATTTTCTAATAAACAAACTTTTAACTTATTAAGATTTAAATATAAATTTATCTTATGATCTTGAAATTCACATCCTCCACATTCTACTTTTAATTCAGTTTCTAAATGTGATGTTATATATTCACGAAACTGTATATTCTGAATATCTCTATCTAAAATAATATCTCTAATTGAAGGATCTGTTTGAATAGCAACATCTTGATCACAAATTTCAATAATAAAAATTTTTAATATCAATGATTCTATAAGTGGTGTTATATATCTATTTCCACCTTTTTCAATAGGTAATTGAATTCTTCTTTCTATCTTGATTATGATAAGCTGTCAACTTCAATTAAACAGCTATATCATGTAATTCAAGATTAGTTTGTTTTGTATTAATTTTTTGAAATAAATACATATATATTAATCTTTGTTCAGGCACTTGAAAATAAGTATTTTGTTTTGTATCTTTACTGTCTTCAATGATTTCATTCTGAGGACCGAATTGGTACTCTGTATCAATAGAAAGACCATATTCTCTTTTATTGCGACAAATATTTAATTTTCTATCATCATTATATAAACCAACAACACACGAATCAACTTTTGTTAAAATTTTTGATGCTATCATGGTGTTTAATAAATTTTTATTAAAAATAAAGAGAAAAATATTATATTTATAGAAAAATAAAAAAAAAACTAAAAAAAAATAAATATTAAAAATAAATCTAATTATTTTTCACAACAATCTTGAACAGATTGCATTATAGCATTTAATGTTGGAGCATGTCTTAAATCTGGTAAATATACTAATTCTATATATTCACCACTAAAAAACTCAGGAATTCCTGAATCACCAGTCTTTTCGTTCCAAGAGGACCTATAATATTTGGATCATTGTTTGACAATATTTTTTTAAATTGATACATTCAATCCATATAATCTAAAATAACAACTATCACATAATTTCCTTTATCAAATACACGTGCTTGATTATCTTCTTCAGACAATACACAAACACGTAAATGATTTAAATCCAAATATAATATAACCTCATCAAATTCAAATTGACAACTTGAACAATCAATCATTATTTCATTTTCTAAATGAACTGTTATAGATTTTCTAAATTGAATATGTTGAAGATTAAAATCTACTAAAATATTATCTAAAGTTACAGCTTGTTTCTTTGCTAAATCAATATCATATATTTCTATAACATACGCTTTTACTTTTAAAGGTTCTAATAAAGATGTAATAACCTGATTACCTTTTGTAACAGATATATTGATTGTACTTCCTTGCACTCTATTATGATATGATGTAATTTTTAAATGTATTGATATATCTTGTAATTCAAAATTTTTAAAATTACTTTTTTCTTGAAACAATC